CATGTGCCCCATTGCACCCCAGGTACCCCCTGCATCCCACATGCTCCATCTGTCCTCTCCATCCCGGGCACCCTGAGCACCCCATCCATCCCGTGTGCCCCATTGCACCCTGGGTACTCTGTGTGTCCTGTGCATCTTGGGTACCACCTGCATCCCACACGCTCCATCTGTTCTCTGCATCCCAGGCACCCTGTGCATCCCATCCATCCCATGCATCCATTGAATCTTGGGTACCCCCTGCATCCCTTGCATCCTGTGGGTCTTGTGCATCTTGGGTACCATACATCCCACACGCTCCATCTGTCCTCTCCATCCTGGGCACCCTGTGTGCCCTATCCATTCCATGTGTCCCACTGCACCCCAGGTACCCCCTGCATCCCTTGCATCCTGTGGGTCTTGTGCATCTTGAGTACCCCCTGCACACCCCATCCGTCCCGTGTGCCCCATTGCACCCTGGGTACCCTGTGTGTCCTGTGCATCTTGGGTACCACCTGCATCCCACACACTCCATCTGTCCCCTGCATCCCGGGCACCCCAAGCACCCCATCCATCCCGTGTGCCCCATTGCACCCCAGGTACCCCCTGCATCCCTTGCATCCTGTGGGTCTTGTGCATCTTGAGTACCCCCTGCACACCCCATCCGTCCCGTGTGCCCCATTGCACCCCACATGCCCCATGCCCCCCAAGTACCCCATGCACCCTGAGCATCCCACATGCCCCACGCATCCCAGGAACTCCAGGTGTCCTCTGCATCCCTGGCACCCCGTCCATCCCACCTGCATCCCATTCCACCCCCCATGCACCGTGCATCCCATGCACCTGGGTACCCCCTGTACCCACACATGCCCCACACATCCCTGGGGCACATCCAGGTGCCCCATACACCCGGGCACCCCAGCTCGTGGCTGGAGCCCTGATTGATGCCAGGGTGTTGTGGTCCATGGGAATGAGGGATGCAGGAGAAGCCTGGAACGTGCTGTTGGGTGCACATTTCCTGAGCATCCTCACAGCTCCGACGCCAACAGCCCTGACTCCTTTCCCGTAGGGAGCAGGGATGCAGCTGGAGCTGCTCTGCCCTCGTGCCACGCTGCCACACGCTGCCACACGCTGCCACACGCTGCGGGGGCTCCTCAGCCATTTTGTGACACGCAGGGGGAGCAGGATGGTGGCACTGGGACAGGGGTGGTCGGCTGGGGAGGAGGCACTGGTGAGGCCTCACCTTGAGTACTGTGTCCAGTTTTGGGCCCCCTACCATAAAAAAGACATCGAGGTGCTGGAGCGGGTCCAGAGAAGGGTGACAAAGATGGTGAGGGGTCTGGAGAATAAATCTTATGAGGAGAGGCTGAGGGAGCTGGGGGTGTTCAGCCTGGAGAAGAGGAGGCTGAGGGGAGACCTTATTGCTCTCTCCAACTCCCTGAAAGGAGGGTGTAGAGAGGTGGGGGTCGGTCTCTTCTCTCAAGTCACAGGCGACAGGACGAGAGGAAATGGCCTCAAGTTACACCAGGGGAGGTTCAGGCTGGATATTAGGAAAAATTTTGTCACTGAAAGGGTTCTCAGGCATTGGAATGGGCTGCCCAGGGAGGTGGTGGAGGCCCCATCCCTGGAGGTGTTCAAAAGAGGGGTTGATGTGGTGCTGGGAGGTCTGGTTTAGTGATGATGCTCCTTGTTTGCTGTGTGGGTGTCTATTTTTGTCAAAATTAGGTTGATGGTTGGACAAGATGATCTTTGAGGTCCCTTCCAACCTAGAAGATTCTGTGATTCTGTGATTCTGAGGCACCCAAGGCTTCCTGGTGGGTGACTCCAGAGGTGCTTGGTTGCCATTTCCAGGCGAGGATGTGGCCTTGGGGCAGCACACAGCTGCCATCTCCTCCCTCCCACCGAGGATGACCCCTCTCCCCATCCCCAGATCAGGCAGAGGAAGGATGAAGCCGGATCTGCTGGATCCCACCTCATTTTCGGCACAAGCAAGGCCCCAGGCTGAGGGAAGCGGGGCTGGGAGGAAGACAGAGGGGACAGTAATTTGTGCCAGGGTCTGTGTGGGGTTATCAGGGGCTCGGAGCCCACCTGGGAGGGAGGCGGGAGGCAGGAGCAGCCCCGCTGCCCTTCCCTGTCCCCTGGAGCATCATTTACCTCCAGCAAAACGCAGGGAGGCACCTGGCAGGCGAGAGCATCCCTCTTGCAGAGAAACAAGTGTCAGGGGGTACGGCGGCGAGGAGGGGGGTGGAAGGAGGTGGGGGGGGGAAGGTTGGATCCTGCAATTTAGCAGGTATCGGGGGAGGGGGGGGGGGGGGGGGAAGGTTGGATCCTGCAATTTAGCAGGTATTATTCGGCAGCTATAAACAGAGCCTCTCACACAGCCGGGGAGAGATAAAGGTTGCAGTGCAGATACAGATTAGGTGGTTCCCTTGAGGCTGTGACACCTTGAGATAGAAGCGGATCTTCTTCAAGGGAAGGGCTGGCTGGCAGCCTGGAAAACCTGGAGCCGAGCGGCCTCCAGCAGCACCTCGGCCCTCGCCGTGCACCCACGCGGGGGGTTTGGGGGGTGCTGGGGGCAGAACGGGGGGCTGGTGGATGCTGGGGGCATGGGGAGGTGCTGGGCATCACGCCCAAGGGGGTGGTGTGTGGAGGAGAGAGTGCAAAACGGGCAAGAAATCAATCATAGAATGGTTAGAGTTGGAAGGGACCTTAAAGATCATCTCATTCCACCCCCTGCCCTGGGCAGGGACACCTCCCACCAGCCCAGGTTGCTCCAAGCCCCCTCCAACCTGCCCTTGAACCCCTCCAGGGGATGGGGCAGCCACAGCTTCTCTGGGCAACCTCAAAGAATTTCTTTCTGGTGCCCACCTCGCCCAGGAGGAGCCAGAGGAGATGGCGACGGTGGCAAGAGAGACCCCAGGAGCGGGCAAAGCCTGTGCCAGCGGGTGGGAGGTGTGGGCAAAACGGGCAGGGATGGCACACACCGGATTCCCCCCCCCGGGGCTGCTCCATTCAGGGCCACCTAATCTGCCCGTCGGCGTTGCCCGTGGCCGGGCCACCTTCCCCCGGCAGCTCTGACAGGGATTTGTTTGCTTCCCACCAGGAGAGAGCGGGTGATTTACTCCCTTCGGTCGGGTTCGGAGCAGGAGGGGCTGGGAGATAGATGGCTGCTTCCCCGGCGCCCTTCGTCCCCCTCTCTCCTCTTCCCCCTCTCCTGCAGGCAGAAACCAACCCGCCGCTTGATGCTAATCATCAGCCAGGGGAGGAAAGATTTAATAGCCAGGTGTGCAGGCAGCGCTGCGTGCTGGTAATTTCTGATCAAGTCTTTGCTCCCTCCGTTTCCGAGGGGGCCAGGAGCGTCGCCCCGGCTCTGCCCAGGGATGGGCTCACCCAGAGGATGGTGCCAAGGTCACCCTGGCTCAAGGATGGGTTTTTTCCGAGCCCTGGCACGCTCCACCGTGGCTTTTCCGAGCCCTGGCTGTGTTGCCCATCCCGGTGTGACCCCCATCTGCCAAAACCACAGCGTGGTGTCCTTGTGGGGCTGGGACACACACTGGGGTCCACTCAGTAGGACCCATCCCTGTGTTGTCCCCCCCCCATACACACGCTGCCGGCCCTGTTCGTTAAACCAGGCTCGTTAATGCTCCCCGCCTCGTCGGGCCCTGGGGAGAAACCCAGGAGGGAGCCAAAATCGGCGTCACCCGGCTGCTTCCAGTGGCCACCGCCCCTGCGTGGCCAGCAGGGAGGGCGGCTGGCTGTCCCCGTGCCCCCCAGCTCTGGGGACCCCTGCGCTGGGGACCCCCACCCTGGTTTGGGGGCTGGAGGCAGCTGGGGGGGCTGGGGACTCCCCCACTCTTGTTCATGTGCTGGAGGCAGATGGGGAGCTGGGGACAGCCCCAGTTTGGGGCTGGAAGCAGATGGGGGGGTTGGGGATACCCCCACTCTTGTTCAGGGGCTGGAAGTGGATGAGGGGCTGGGGACCCCCCTGGTTTGGGGGTTGGAGGCAGATGGGGGGCTGGGGACACCCTCTGGTTTGGGGACTGGAGGCAGATGGGGGAATGGGGACACCCCCTGGTTCAGGGCTAGAGGCAGTTGGGGTGCTGGGTTGGGGACCCCCCCTGATTTGGGGCCGGAGGTGGATGGGGGCCTGGGGACCCCCCTGGTTTTGGGGGCTGGAGGCAGATGGGGGGGCTGGGGACACCCCCACTCTTGTTCAGGTGCTGGAGGCAGATGGGGGGCTGGGGACCTTACTGGTTTGGGCACTGGAGGCGGTTGGGGTGCTGGGGCGGGGACCCCCCTGATTTGGGGCTGGAGGTGGATGGGGGGGCTGGGGACAGCCCCAGTTTGGGGCTGGAAGCAGATGGGGGGGTTGGGGATACCCCCACTCTTGTTCAGGGGCTGGAAGTGGATGAGGGGCTGGGGACCCCCCTGGTTTGGGGGTTGGAGGCAGATGGGGGGCTGGGGACACCCTCTGGTTTGGGGACTGGAGGCAGATCCCTAACCCCCACCCCACATTCCTGGCCCCCAATCCCTGCCCCACAGCCTCTGCCCCCGCCATGGAGTGACACCCCCGCTCCCCCAGGTGGAACTTTCCTCACAGGGCGTCAGACCATAGAGGCGACAGGGCAACACCAAAAAGAGCTCTCTCTGGAGGGGGCGCGGAAGAGACAGAGACCCCTTTCCTCCAAATCAACCTGGAAGAATATCGAGAACCGGCACTCACGGATACAGACACACCTTTTATAAATGTCGCGGCTGTGCTTGGTGTCGCGATTTCTCCTTTTTGCCCCGGGAATCTGTCCCAAAGCGGCATGGTGATCCCCCCCATCTAGTCCTCATGATGATACGTTCCACCCTGTTTACTCTCTTTGCGCGGCCGGCTTGGGTGGGGTCCTTCTCTTGCTCCAGTTCCGTACGCAAGTGGCGTAGGGCGGCTTTGATAGACATCCAGGGAGAGCCAATAGCGTGGCAGTATCTGTGGACGGCGAGCCAATGGCGCGGCGGACCGGCGGCCGGGAGGAGGCGGGGCGAGGCTCAGTCAGGGCAGGGAGGGGGAGCTGTGGAATGGCGGACGGCCGGGCTGGCCCGCCCTGGTGGTAACGAGCCGAGAGGGCCGGAGGGGACAACCGCGGAGAGGGGTGAGTACGAGAGAGCCGAGCGGCGGCTCCCCGGGCCTTCCGGGCCGCCTCTTGTCGGGGGAGAGAGGCGGAGGCGCTGGGGTGGGCCGCTAGGCCTTTGCCAAATAGTGAGCTATGCGGCTGAGCCGGGCACTGTTTCCTGCCACATAGTGAGTCCCCGGCTTGTGTGGGCCCTGGTACCCCGGGCTGGGGGGCTTGGGCCGGGCTTGGGTCGGGCCTGCGGCCGGGGAGAAGGAAATGGCTTCATCCCTAGGCTGACACTTGCCCAGCCCCTCCCAGGGGCCATGGCTCAGCGCAGGGTGTGTGCCCTGGGCCGTGGCTGGGCTGGCCGGAGGGATTGGGGTGTAGTGGGGAGGGCTGGCCTGGAGGGCTGGGGGGCACAGAGCCCTGTGTGGGGTTAAAGAAATGCCATTTTTCTGGGCTCTCCCGAGGCCTTGCCGGGATCTGCTGTCCCGGGGCCGTTACAGAGGTCTGACTTAGCGGCCAATGGCTTGGGGGAGCTGGGGAGAAGGAGGGGAATGGCTGCAAGGTCCCCTCTAAGGGGGAGACAAGGGTGCTGTGCTGGGGGAGAAGGTTCCCTGCCTTTCCAGGCTGGTAGCAGCTTTTCCTGCCAGGGTTTGCCATCAGTGCTTGTGCAAACGTGTGTGTGTATGAAGTCTGTCTGGGTGTGAGCTGGCTGCCCTTCTTGATGCAAGTTCTGGTGATTGCGCTCGTGGAGTGTTGCTGTAAAAGCAACTTCTCCCTCCTGGCTGTCACTGCCCCAAGGGTGGGTGCACCTTTCAGTAGGTCTGGCTCCACTTTAAGGGGGTGTGTGAGCCCCTTGACTGTTAACTATGGGCAGGCAAAACTTGGGGTGAGACTCTGGGTGCTTTAGCATGCTTTGGAAAACGTTTTCCCCAATATTTAATCTCTAAGTACTCTTAAAAGGAAGCTTTGAAGGGTGTAACGGGATAGGCTTGGGTAGTTTGGTCAAACACACTGACCTGCTGGTGAACTCGGCCCATATTTCTTTCAGAGAAGGAATAAGTTGTTAGGGAATGTCCTTGGGGTTGTGCCTCACCAGTATTTAGGTTTGTGTTGGGGTTACTCCTTTGGGATACAAACAACATATGTCCTTTGGAGCAAGGTAAGAGATTGCAGCTCCTCCCTGTTAGCTCTTCTTTGACCTCAAGGACTTTCCTGTGGTGGGAATTTTTTTTTTTTCCCCCGCCAGTAGTTTCACATTTCACATTATTCTCTTACTTTCATTAGTAGCAAAAGCAGAACTGGGCAACTCTACACAAATCAGCCCACTGGTGGGACTGCAGGATGTGTTAATGCCAGGGGTAGGCCTGTTTGGTAAGACACTAGAAAATACTGAAAGTTGGAACCTTTCAGCACTGCAGATGTTGGTGGATGTGAAATTATATATATTAATTCATAATAGTAAAACCCCCTTTTATTAAGTACATCTGCTGCAGATGGGGTCATAGCTGATGGCAACCCTCGCATTTGTGTGTCCTTCCCAAAGACTTCTGACATGGAAAAGTTGAAATTCAAAGATGAGAAGGTGGGAGGGTATGCACATGTGCTTCCCTGTGACACAGCTGATGTGAAATGTTACTTTACGGGAAGTGCTAAAGTCTGCCTGTTTGGTCACATGAGGAAGGGGAATAGTTATGTTTTCCACCCATTTTAAACATCTGCAGAATCGGTTGCTACTGAATGCTGCAGGAATTTGAAATGCTGCGTTGCGACACTTTTCGTTCTGACTTGCCCCTTATTGACCTTGAGTGGGTTTTTGTCATAGAAACCAATACAGAGTTTAATCTATTACTTAGTTAAAACCAAACCAGAGCTAACATCTCCCCACCGAGAGCACAGACAGCACGTTGATAAAGTGACTTTGAAAATCCGCTTGTATTCACAGCCAAGGACAAGCTTTGTCCAGGAAGTGGGGTGGAGCAGGACAGGCACTTCAGTTCGGGGCGTTTTGTTTGTTTTGTGTCTTTTTTTTTTTAAAGTATTGTCCTTGAAAACATGAGGTTTGAGTGAGGGACCTCAACCTAAGTTTTAAAGACCCACTTAATGCTGATTTTTGGTCAAGGTACATTTGTCAGTGTTGTCCCTGGGTGAGTTGGTGACAATGGGGGCGAAGACCCAGGTCTTCTACCTTCCAAACCTTTCCAAAGGATGGATTTCTGCCTGATTAAAAACCTTGCATTGTTTTGGGGTGAGGAGTGGGTTTACCAGCTCCCTCTTGTAGCCCAGCTGAGGCAAGGAGAAGCCTTGCTGTATTTTCTAAGTAAAGGGTTATAAGAGGATAAACTTCCGGGGAGGAACTGAATGTAAACTTTTCCCTAAACTGCCTATTTTCGCTGCTTTTAAAAATAAATTTGACTTTTTTTTTTTTTTTTAATCTGTCTGGTAACAAGTTCAAAAAGTAAATGCTCCAATTTCCATTTTTTTTATTCAAAAAGCCCAATCCCACCCTTCTGATGGTTCATGCCTGTCAAACTCCTTCCTCTTCACAGCTGTGAAGATAAAGCCTTTCCGAGCTGTCTGCTGCTGGTCAGGTTTTTCCAAGCCACTGCACAGGGACATTAGGAAGACCCCAGCTTCATTTCACTCTTCCCACCCCCCTATCCCCCCCCAAAAAAAATCAGCAGTTCGATGCCACTGCCTGATCCCTAGGGCTCACCCCTATTTCTCTCTTCATCTTCTGTCCAGTCTACATTCCTAACAAATCTTTCAAGCCCTGGTTTTACAAAACTATGCTTGGGGGGTGGGTGGGAGGATGCAGGCTAAAGCTGCAGGAAAAAAAAAAAAAAGAAGGAAATACAGTGTGTTTCTGGCTACTTTATTTTCTACAAGCCCTATTTGAAATATGTTGTGAAGGGGGTGGCTTCTTAAAGAAGGGTCGGGGCTGGAACTGCAGCCCTGGTGTCTTCAGAGATATCGCTGCTGGGGTTTGAAGTAATGAGTTTAATAGTGAAGTTCTTTTAAGCAGAGTATAAAACTGGTTTCCCCGTGAATAGAGTGACACATCGAACAGAAATGGTGTATTTTTAAGTTAACAGCTCAGAAGGTATTTGTGAGCAGTGATTCATTAAAAAGAATACAACCTTTATGATAACTGCCAACCCAGTTTCTCAGCGTGCTTTGAATATATCTCATTCTTCAGGGCTGGTCTAGGAAAAGTTGATTTCATTCACAAAGCTTAGATAATCACGTCGTGTGGGTGGAGGGGTTAAAACTTCAGTGATTGCCTCATGTGCATATAGTTACAGCAGCAAATCCATCTCCTTTTTAATTTTTTTATTCTTTTTTTTTTTGTGGTGCTAGAAGAACAAAGAAGGTTATTAGGATTAATGTTTCTACAAAATCAGGTTAGTTTTCTTTGACAGACTGTAATAAGGAAGATTTGAACAAGTGTAAGACTTGGCTTTAATCCTTCTCGATAGTTTCTCTCTGTGGGCTTTCCGGATTCAAATGTTTAATAACTTGAAGGTTTTTGTTTTGTCGCTGCTAGGTTTGATGATAATATTTAGCCCTTGGTCATTCAGCTGAGCAAAATACCTTGCTGTGTGTGCGGTCACAAACCAGGAAAAGGATTGAATAGCGATTGTATTTGCATGTGTATAAAGTTCCTGCTGTCCCCTCACAGACTGGGACACCAGCACCCAGCAAAAAACACCTCCCAAAGCTGCTTCTGAGGGTGAAAATAGCCAGAACAGCCCACTGTCTGATGGCTCAGCGCCGAGCTCCCTCCTTTATCTAGTTTCTAAAGTAATAACTGCGCAAAATGCACAGGAGGCGAACCAAAAAGTGACACTTTCACTGTGCAGAAAGCCAGGAAAGCAAAATGCAACTCTTTTTCCCAGCCTGTCTTCTGGTGTGTTACTGTTCTCAGCAGCTCTCTTGCTTCTAATGGGATCTGTAGTAAGAAATTGTGTATTTGAATATTTATTCTCACTGTGCGAGGATAAATATTTGTGAGATCGGGCCCTTGGTTACCACAGATTAACATTTATTTAAATATTTTAGGTATTTATAAACACTGGATTTTAAAAAAAGGCATGTAGAAATGGCTTCTGGGTAATAAGCAAATGACTGCTCAGAACAGAACCACCCTGGTGACATTTACTTCCTTTGTGTTTTTTTTTTTTGCAACTCTGTGTAATAAAAAAGACCTTGTGTTTTTCTTTTTGAGGAGGGGAGGCTCCCGGTGCTGCCGATCAGGCTCCGCTGCCAAGGGCGTGCTTGCTTATAGGAGCTTCTGCAGAAGGTTATCAGATTCAGGCCTGATTCTGATTTATATAGCATTTTTTTTTTCCATCTGGAGGTCTGTAGGATTGTGGGTTTGTTCCCTGGGAGGCAGGAGCGGGCACGTCCCGTCTCAGAAGAACCCAAAATGTGAATTTCTGTGTTATTTTGTTGAGCAAACAGTGCGGCGGCAAAACGTTAATCATGTTCTCCATCCCCAACTCGCCTTCAACTGCAGTAATGGGCCTGGGAAATAGTTCCTCTAGATCCTACCCTAATTCTTGAAATCGCAGTAAGGCTTTTCTGGTATTATGTTGCTCCTGGAGAAGTGGCAGAGCACAGACGTATCTCAAGTATGCATCTGCCGGGGCTTTTGAAGAGAATTTAAAGGACCAGGAATGTCAGTTATCATAGAATCATAGAATTGCCCAGGCCAGAAGGGACCTCCAAAGGCCATCTAGTCCGACCCCCCCGCAGTCAGCAGGGACACCCCCAACTAGACCAGGTTGCCCAGGGCCTCGTCGAGCCTCTCCTTGAATATCTCCAGGGAAGGGGCCTCAACCACCTCCCTGGGCAACCTGTTCCAGTGCTCCACCACCCTCACAGTGAAGAACCCTCTCCTCATCTCCAGTCTAAATCTGTTCCCCTCCAGCTTGAAGCCATTGCCCCTCGTCCTGTCACTGCAGGCCTTTCTAAACAGGTTCTCCCCGGCCGTCCTGTAGCCCCCCCTCAGGTACTGGAAGGCTGCAATAGGT